CCGCCGCGTCCCGCCCCGCCCCACAGGCTGCTATTGAGAGTCCGCTCTCGCTCTGACAGCTCAGGGTGTGCGTTCTCGTTTAGAAAATCCGAGGAACAGCCGACCGAAACGGAAAACAGATCTAGTTGATCTGAAACTAGTGGCCTACATCGCTGTTATCAGCAGGACCCTCTTCTCCGAACAAGGCAAACAGGGGGAGGTAGGTGCCGGCTACACCTTCTTCTGAAGCGACCGTCCAATGAGAGAGCAGGATGACACTGGCGTGGACTTTGTCATAAAGAACGCCGTCGTGAGGCGACTGCCCAGTCTACCACAGGACATCGACGACCCTCTTATTAGCCTGCGTCCGCCTCTTCGAGGAGTCAACTTTGTCACATTAACAGTCCCTATACCTCGTGGAGCATCTCAGAAGCCGGTGCAATAACAACCCTAACTACTGCCTCCACAAGCACTCCCTCGTCACCCCTGCGCCAATCCCCATGGTGTCCACGACGACGACCTCACCACCACAGATGACCACACTTCTATTGCCTTGCCGCCCTTGATAACCCTCATATCCATCATTGGCAACGACTACCAGCGTTCCCGCTCCCGACATCAGCAAAAACGCTCCCGGCAAATCGCCGTAGACCAAATCACACCACGTATTTCCCCATCAATGCATGAAAAACACATGGGCACCTCCAAAATCACAAAACACAGGAACCCCTTAGGTACGTAAGAAGTGTGTTCATCGGCTTCTGTCCCATGTGGCCTCGCTGCTACATATAAGATCTAAGAGGCCCACCCCAAGTGTATTTGCGCATAGGAGGCGGGTTGTGTGTGCGGCAGGCGCCGACAGACTGTTCTCAGATGTGACAGCCACCTCTGCCAATCTCAGCATAGCTTAGTCGACCGGTTTGAACAGTCGACTTTTACGCGAGAAAGGGTACAGCGAGTGAGATCGAGCCAATTTTAAACAATCCAACACGCTCGAAGCCATCACAGCGTGCTAGAAGCAGTGGCTTGAAAGGTTACCAGCCGATGATTCAACTTAAACCAAACACTCAGCCTACTGCGTGTTTATGCATCGGGTGGCCGACTGGTGGACCGAATGTCAGATTTCAATCCTTCCTTCTTAATAGAACCCTCACTTAAATGAGACCCGAGTCGCCTTCTCCCTTCTGTGCGCAATTCTAGGATCTGCATTGGCGGAGCCAAGCTGTGTATGTGGCTCGCGCAAAGGGGCTGTATAGCCCTAACAGCAACTGCGCCTACTCGTCGCACCAGATAACTGACCAGCTCGGACGGTGGACTGGTACCCGAGATTGGGAAGAGAGTGAGGCCGACGGTCCGACGCGCCTGAATCTATCATGTTGATTTAAAAGCCCTAGCTTGGGAGGTTGCCAAGTGAGAGAACAACCCAGAACCGAGGATCAGGATGCAGTGATTCCTTCTTAATGTGTTCTCTATGGAACTCCTGCCCAGTGGGTTTCCGTTGTGCCAGCCAACTGCGCCCACTCGTACCCCCAGGTATTTTTGACTCTGTCAGGACACCGGGCTCAAAGAGGGAAGGAATCGAGAGTGCAGCAGATGCCACGCAAGATTGCTATCACCATATTGTATCGGCTACGCCAAATCGGAAAGGGAAGTCCTCCACAGTGGGCTTCTCCAGGTGAGCAAACTTTAATTCGAAAAATGCCAAGTCATCTGACTAGGGTCTAGTTTCAGAAAGATGCTGAAATTTGAATGTCAGTATTTCATCGGAGGTCACCAACAACAGCCAGTAAATGAGTTAAGGGACCTAGGTGCGTGAATTCCGCCCACTCAAACCTTCGTTGCACTGCCACATGATAGGAAACCGACCATGGCTATCTTGGAAGCGGTCAGGAGGTCCATCCTTTTTTGACGAAGAGTTTTTCAGTCACGTTGAAAACATTTATCCATTATACTTACTGAATTATACTGTAAACGAATCCACACGCAAGTCACCACCGTTATTCCCAACCTCCTGCGGAGCACACGATGGATATCGTCGAAAACTACTGCTTAGCTGTGATGTGTGTGTAGAAGGAAATTGCTACATTTACATGAAGTGGAAAAACTCCTGGCATGGCAGCGCAAAGATAGTTTTGTTTTTGATAAGAAGATCGCATTTGATCATTGAGGGTTATTCGGCAGAAAAAAAATGCAGCCTTGGGAATGACCGCGGCCCAAAACAAAAAAACTGATCTCATCGTTGGCGGATGCCGCAGCCCCCAATGCCTTTTATAGGAAATGCATTGTGAATCAGACTCGGAGTGGATGGATGAGTAGTTGCTTGACGCAAAACGGCGAATTTACGGTTAGGTGGCAAAATGCAGATTCAGTGTTTGCCCTGAGGTGAGGTCAAGCAGAGACTAAGAACAGCAAATTTTATTTTTACAGATGGCGAATTCACGGGATCCGGCGTCCAGAAGTCGTGAAAGCTAAACTGAATGCAGAAAGCCAGTGCTGGTTCATTCAAACATAAGATAATTTTGCCCAATTTTTAAGTTTCTGAGTAATCAATTTTAGATAGTAATCACGTTAAATAAAACTGACAGTATTCACCTTTAAGCGTCAGAGGAAGAAGCAAAATGACATGGCTGTGATTATTGCTTCGACAGTTGTTTAGATGCCCCAAAGTAGCCGGCGCATTAAAAGTACGATAATTTCGTAGCCTAGGCAGTCCAATTTGCTCCTTTCGCCACAAAGAAACGGACCATGCGAGTCCACAACGGTCATGGTAAGTCGAAATTCGAGATTCTGGAATTTTAGCCATTTGATAAGGAGGGGTTAAACGAATTCACTCTTGACGCAAACCTACAGTGCGTGACCCATCTCATGGGATGTTGGCTGAAATTCTGAAATGCGTTTTCGACTAGGAAGGATTAATAAGGTGGCGTTGCAACATTAATTAGTACGTAGCATAATTCTATAGTATTTCGGACTTGCCGGCTTGCCGGATGACGGCTTCTGAATGCACTTCTTTCTCACTTCCCGCAGACACCATAGTCGGTAAAAATGACTATTTAAGTGGCATTCATCTTTCACATTGATTTTCGATGGTCTTATAAATTCAAATATATTTTATAGAAAACACGCGCAAAAAATATGCTTTCTTTTATTTGTTCGGTAAAAAATCACATTAAGTAGGCATTTTTAGCGACTACGGTTTCTGCGGGATGTCGGAAAGGAGTGCATTCCACAACCGAAATCCTGGCAAGTCACATCCTGGCAAGTCAAAAGTACTATAGGACTGTGCTACATAATAATTAATGTTGCAACGCCGCCTTATTAATCGTTCTTAGTCGAAAACGCATTTCAGTATTTCGGCCAACATTTCATGAGATCGGTCACGCACTGTACGCACATGAAACTAGAGAAAAGCAAACGACACTCCAGTCCAGGTTTAACGTACATCGCGGGGAGACCGATTCTAATCTCGGTTAGACATTTGAATAAGCTACCAGTCTCATACGTCGCCTGTGTGGAATGTCGGTGCTAGCCTTCTTAAAGTCAATAAGAATTGCATTTATTGACTGGCTCCCTTTAAAGGTCTTGTCTAGCTTTCCACTAATATAAGCAGACTAGTGAGACTGGTTTGCTCGTTTCTGAAGCCACATTGAGTCAGACTAGACAGTTTGTTCAGATGTATAATCAGTTCACAGCACAGGTACTAGTCAAAGACCCAGACACTTGTTTTGCCGATATTCTGCCGCTGCATGACACAGCTACTAGGGGTTCGGTCATCGAGTTTAGATTTCATTTTTCTCTGATTTATCAGTTGATTTATTTCAGTGATCGCCGTTTAGTTAAACGAGTTTCAAATATGATTCCATATTTTTTACACCGCAAAGATTTGTTATCGATTACACGGGACTTCTTTCCTACCCTGCCAGCACCAGCCGCGGCTGGCCACGCCTTGCCGCCGCGGCAAGACGTGACTACGACGCGGCCAAACGTGGCCATTTGGCGTGGCTAAGGCGCGGCCTTCGACACCACAGCCACGTTTGGCCACACCATTCGAATACAATGCGTGGCGGCGCCCCCC